AAGAGAAGTCTGCTTTGAACTTTCACACCGTCTTGTTAATACATTCAGTAAGGATGTGGACCTTATCTGCTATATGGAGAACTTCATGAGGTCTTCTGGTAAATGGATGGATGGCACAAATATGATGGACGTACCGATTGCCTCTAAACATGTTTTGTCCAACCGCATAAACAACAAGGTATATTATGCTATAAGTACATTTTTTTTAATGTTTTGCTTCATTTTGAAATACTCACAACTTCTATGGTTTAGCAAGTTTTATACCATTTTGAAGGTTAACTTGTATCCATGTATCACCACATTTATATTCAAGACATGTAATACTGCTCATTAACTTGCATTATTTGCAAAGCTAGATAAACTCCAACCTATTTTTCTTTATTAAATGAGATTTTTAGTCTTTAAAAGTCATGTTTATATATAGAATACAACCTTATCTTTATATTTTCTTGGTACCTTTTTGGTTCACCATGGAAGTCATCAATGTTTCCTTGGAATATGTAATTTCCATCCATAGTAAAATGGAAACTTAATGACCTTGCTTTTTCCTGTGGTGAAACAGTACACACAGATGCTGTTAAATGAAATTCATAGACTGTTGCTTTTTGATTTGTAGCAAGTCCTAACCACTTTCTAATTGCTCTTTACAGAAGGCTCATATTCCAAATGCTCCTTTGGAAATTAAGATGGACGATACGGATGAAAGTCAGTTTTTGCATCATCTTGCTATTGCATGTCATGCTTTATCTGATTGTGTAAAGGACTGTAATGATCTCAAAAGAAACATTGATGAGCATGGCTTTTCAGTTGAACAGAAAGCAACCGAGCTATTTGATGTTATGTCCACCTTGCAGAACAGGTTCACTTCTCAGCATAATGAGTTGGAATCTTTGAGAGCAAAATTTGTTGAACTACAGTCAGAGATGAAAGAAAGAGATGAGGAGATTGTATCTGCACGCAGGAATATGAGCTTGCTATATGAAGCATGCACTAGTTCAGTTGCGGAGATTGAAGGAATGAGTGATATATACCCTAGTAACCACAGCTATGCTGTTGAGCATTCTGCAGATGGACGCATAAAATCAATAGTTGAACAGTTAGTTATGGCTGTAAAAACTTCTCAGAACAGTAATGAAGGCAGCACAAAGGAACTGAAGGCTACTGTTCTTGAGTTGCAGCAGGAGCTTCAAGCTAAAGATATCCAAATTAGTACAATCAGTTCTGAGCTATCATATCAGTTAAGGGCGGCTGAATCTTCTGCAAAACAGCTCTCAGTTGATCTTGAAGATGCAAGAATGGAGCTCCAAAATTTGGAGAAAGAAATTGATGTGTTGCATAATCAAAAGAAGGATTTAGAAACTCAATTAAATGAACTTAAAAATATGGAATCAGTGGCAAGTGAGCAGCATGGAAGAATTGAGAAATTGACTGATGAACTAAGCAGAAAAGACCAAGGTGAGCTGTCAGAACATTTTGGTTCAATTACTTGTGTTTTGTTCACTGCTACACGATTTCATGTAATTAAAAATAACCAAAAAAAAAACTTTGTTCCTTTGGTTGTTCATACTTTTTTTATGTGTTCTGCAGAAATTGAAGGTTTGGTGCAAGCACTCGATGAAGAAGAAAAAGAGCTTGAAATCTTGGAGAATAAAAGCCTTCAGTTGGAGCAAATGTTGCAGGAGAAAGAATTTGCCTTGAAGACCTCAGAAGTTTCTAGGACCAAAGCTCTGGCAAAACTTGCAACGACTGTTGACAAATTTGATGAGTTGCATAGCTTGTCTGAGAATCTTCTTGCAGAAGTGGAAAACCTTCAGTCACAATTGCAAGAAAGGGATTCTGAGATCTCTTTTCTGCGACAAGAAGTTACAAGAAGCACTAATGAACTGCTAACCACTGAAGAGAGTAACAAAAAGTACTCATCTCAGATAAACGATTTCATGAAACGGTTAGAAAGAGCACTGTTGCAGTTCGGGATGCACTCTGAGAACGCTAATGATTATGATTGCACACAAGTTCCTGTCTATATGGATATGTTGGACAGAAAAATAGGATCTCTGATAGCTGAATCAGATGATTTAAGGGTTACAGTCCAAAGCAAAGATTCTTTACTACAGGTTGAGAGGACCAAAATGGAGGAGTTGATGCGTAAATCAGATGCTCTAGAAGCCTCATTGAGCCAAAAGGATTCCCAGATAGGGTTACTTCGCCGGGACAGGGTATCCAATCAGCAGAGCAGATCTATAAACTTGCCTGGCACTTCAGAGATTGAGCAAATGGTAAGTATGTTTTATTTTGTGGATAAAAGGTACCTGATTAATATGTATTGAAGTAGTTTATTTATGCTTACCTGCATATTCAATTTGGGTGCAGAATGAAAATGTAAGCCCAGCTGCAGTTGTCACTCAGATTCGAGGTGCGCGAAAAGTCAACAATGACCAAGTTGCTATTGATGTAGAGATGGAGAAGGACAAGCCTTTTGATGATGAAGATGATGACAAAGGCAAGCATATGTTCTGCATCCTACTCCTAAATACAGTTTTTCACTTTTAGTTTTCTTCTCTGATTGATTTTACATTGGTATTGCAGCCCATGGTTTCAAGTCATTGACTATGTCACGCTTTGTTCCTAAATTCACTCGACCGGTATCAGACAGAATTGATGGGATGTGGTAACTGCAATCTAACTTGTTACTTTACTGATTGGTGATTGGTGATGTGTTTGGTGGGGTCACTAATTTCCTTTTTTATTTTATTAAACAGGGTCTCAGGTGATAGATTGCTCATGAGGCAACCAACCTTAAGACTTGGCGTCTTGATATATTGGATTGCACTGCATGCGTTGCTTGCTAGTTTTATTTGAATTTGAACTCTATGTGTAAAGGTGAGTGATGATTTTACTAAGCACCAATTTAACTTTCTACTGTTATGGCTCTGCTGTCTGTGGCAAACTGTGTTGTGCATGTTGAAACATGACAGTCTTGCACTCATGTTTCATCTACAATAGTTGCTGCATAGCATATGCACCTGATGATAATTGATAAGCATGTACAATGGACTGGTTTGCTGAACATTCATAACTGTAGCATTGGTTTGATGGGAATCAATGATTTAGGAAATGAAAAGCTAATGAAACGAGCACAAGAAGTAATTGTCTCAAATGAATAATTGTGCCAGTAAAATGAGTACCAGTGATCTAGGATCCATCTTGATAAATGTGTACTGTTGACTGTTCTATCATGTTTTATCTTCATGAAAATTGAGTTTTTAGTTTTGGTCATGTTAATTGACTTCTCTTAATGTTATGCAGCTGTAGTGATCTCCTTGGCGAGTGACTGTACAGTACTATGTGTCTATGTCCATAGCAAGTTATCTAAGCAAAAGCAGTTTGCACTAATACCGTGATTCCTTTTGAAAATGTTACCGAATACTTGAGCCGTATTGGCAGCTGCGAGACGTCTTCAGGATGCATTTTCACCCATCTTCCTGGTGCTGTGATCCCGTCTAGCTTAGTTTGGGTCCAATGGCATGCAATGATGCAAATGGATGGAAGAGAACTGAAGGAAGCAGCAGCAAAGAACCCCCTGTACATACATTTTTGTTTGCTCTATTCTTTGCTTTTAGGAAGGGCGGGCCTGGTGCAAGCGGTAGAGTCTTACCGTCTGTGACCGGAAGGTCTCGGGTTCGAGTCGTGGTTTCTTCGCATTGCATGGTGAGTGAGGTATTACCAACTTACTTCTTGACACCATTCCCCGGGACCCCTACACTTGCGCGTGCGTCCTTTTTTTTTTTTTTTTTTTTTTTTGAAAGATGGAGGGCATTCAACATGCTAGCATCTACTTACTACACTATATGATACAGGATTACAGGAAAGTGACATGTAGTTTTGGAAGTTAGGGTTTTGGGATGGTAACAGGTTATCCCCTCCCTTGAGTTGGCCCCCTTATACTTTCTCAACCCTTTTCGTTTACATGTACAACACAGTGATTATTTCATTTATTATTATCCATACTGTGCAATGGGGGGGCTTGCACATTTTATTTCCTTCAAGTGAAGCCTGTGCTGAAAGTTCATGTCAGATTTGGTTTTGGGAGCGCTGGAAAGTTACCATAAGAGCCCTGGCGTATGCTGTGAAGCTTGAGCGGTTATTTTGCTACTGTTGCCGCCAAAAATCAAATGACGAATTATTCCATGACTTACTGATTTGATTTGTACTACTTTGGACAACATTTTTCGACAACATCACTTTTGACGAGCAAACTTGACCAGCGGAGTTCAGTGTTTATATAAACTGCCCCCCACATTCCATCTAACAAATGTCATCCTAGGTTTGGTTAATCAAACTTTCTTAAATTTAATTAGGTTTATTTATAAAAAATATCAATATTTGTATCTTAAATAGGTAAATTTTAAGAATATATTTACGATGCTAATGATACTTATTATGTACTATAAATATTTTTATATTTTTGTTAAATTTGAAATTTATGGACTCGAAAAACAAGTTTTTAAAGATGAGAATGATTTTCCCCTCATTTCTTATCCTGGTCAAAAAATTAAAAGAAAAAACACCTGTCCATATTTCGGACAAGATTCTTTGGGCATGTTTGGTACAGTTTATAAGCTGTTTATGGCTAAAATAAGCTGAAACCAACAGCTAAATGCTATATTTTTTAGCAGTTTATTCTAGCCACGCTTATTCTATAGCTTTTATTTATACTTAAAAAGTAGAAGCTGAATCAGACCACCTTGTTTTGATTATATTTGTTCAGCTTATCTAGAAAGAGTTTACCAAATAAACTGTACCAAACAAACATGGCCTTTATCGTGGTGCAGGTGGGGCCACTTTAGCGTGCTAGCCCTGTGCCCTGAGCCCCTGACGCCTGTAGCCAGTACTAGCTGTTGGATCTCGATGAGACGTAAAATGGATGGCCCAGATAATCACAGATAGACACCACATTCACCCGGTCGCTCTCGCTCACTTTCCACTCCTGCCTTCCACTTATGGAAGCTCTAGCAGCGCGCTCCTCCGTGCTCTCGCCGCCGGGGATCGCCGGAGACGCGTCGCCGTCCCTGTCCCTGCCGCTCCGCCGTGCCTCCGTCGCGTTCCCTGGTCCCCGCAGGAGTCCCTCCTCCCTCGCCATCTCTACGCTCTGGCTGCGCGCTCCGCCCCGGCGCGGCGGCCGCCTGCTCGCCGGGGCAGGGGAAGACGGGTCCCTGGACCCCGCCGACGACGCGGCTGGCCAGGCGGGAGATTTTCCATTACTCGAGGTACTCCGTACTCGCTGATGTTATGATATGTCGTTGTTGGAGATCCAACACGTGCGATTCTGTAGCTGACATACTGTACTTCAAGTTGTACGGAGTTTTGCGAAAGTTCAACTGCTATGATAATAAGGAGCTTCCATCAGTAGAACAATTGAAACTACCATTGGCATATATACGTTATGCTTCCATTGAAGGTTCAAATTGCCCGTGTAACTTGACAGAACTTCAGATTGTCTAATCAATGGAGGAAAGTAATAGTCTGGGAGGAATTTGCTCTTCAAGCAGCAAGAATTGCTGACGCATGATTAATTTGGCAAAACAGTTTATTATAATAATGACCTTTTAGTATATGATGATGTAACCAGGTTCACTAATTTGGTAACTTTTGCCAAAGACAGAAATTATTGTTATCACTGTATTGTTCTAAACTGAAGCTGACCTCTGAATAATATTGCATGGTGTTCAGTTAGATTATATTTATTAAAATTTAAGGTAGTTAATGAATGAAGTCATGAGCTTGCATACACGACACTTTGGATGGGAGTTTTGCGCTGCATTTTTGTGCAGGCTTCTATTACTTTATTTGTTCATATTTGGCCTTTATATTTGCCAAAAGGATTCCTAGTGGGCTGATTCTGGATGGTGGATTGACCTTTCTCTATATGTCTTTATAAATATTGAAAGTTATATGCTAATGCCTTAGGAGGACATTTTGCTTCCTTTGTAAGTTCGTCTCTTCTTTTCATAATGGTCACTTTCCCTTGAACTTTCCCTCCTACATCTACTGGTGGTTTTATTTCATTCTCCATGTTGAACAGTTGAAGTGCTTTAGCTTTCTGGAGAAACCTCACAACTATGTCAAAGCAATACTATGACTGTAAGCACGTGCTCTTTTTCTTTGTTGTTTGTGTTTTGGTGCCTGAAAAGTCAAGACTATAAGAGACACAACAACGTCACAGTAATTACAAGAAATTACAATGAAGTGTGTGCTGAGACAATGAACTATGGCAATGCTCACCGGCTCACTCATAAACCTCCATGCTTCTTATTTTTTGATTGGGAAATGTTTTTCTTTCATAAGCTCTTACCCTTTGGGTACCGTGTTACATTTGGTTAATTGTTATTGCTCTGTATAATTTGAATTTTTTATGAGCTCTCCAAGATTGATTATTGTTCTCTTCCTGTTTGTAATATTGAAAGAATAATGTAACTCTACGTGGAAGCAATGACATGGATACCACTAAACATGATGATGCTGGCACTTCTGGACGTGGTGGGAGTAACACTGGTGGCTCTAGGACTGGTCTGTTCAGAACACCTATTTCAGGTGGTGTGCACAGTGCAACCGCTGTTCATGATTTACCACCACCAGCTTTGGCCGTTCGCAACCTCATGGAACAGGTATGTTTACGCTCTCTTATGTTTGGTTTAGTTGTATCTGAGATAGAAAGAGGTAAACAATTAAATATGGATATGAGAAGGAACTTGTAATGACTGATAATGTTTCTGTTTTGAAATCAGGCAAGGTTTGCTCATCTGTGCACTGTCATGTCTCGGATGCATCATCACCGTGAAGGATACCCATTTGGTTCTCTAGTAGATTTTGCACCTGACCCTTTTGGTCGTAAGTAATTTTAATATCACATCTTGTATCTACCAAGTTTCATTGCTTTATTTATTTATTTATGCATTTTTGTCATGAAGACCCAATCTTCTCATTATCCCCGCTAGCCATCCACACAAGAAATTTGTTGGCAGACCCAAGATGCACCCTTGTTGTACAGGTAAATGACATTCGGCTATACTATATAATCAGCTCTTGAAATGTCTTTGTTGATTTTTTACTAAAATGTTCTTACCTGTCTTAGGTACCTGGATGGAGTGGACTATCAAATGCACGAGTAACTATCTTTGGTGATGTCACTCCGTTGCCCGCTGAACAACAGGTTTGCACTAAAATTAGTAATTATCTCTTTTCCTGAATACCATCTCCTGCAATGCCATGTCACCCGATTCAGTAATTTCTGTGTTTGATATTTACACTTATGAAGCTATTTCTGGACATGTGTGCCATATTATTATTATTTCATTCATATGTGAACTATGTACTGCAGAAAGCTAACCCCTGCTGGCTTCAGCAGGAGGCTATATGATGCTCATGCATGGAATGAACAAAATAAACCTGCCTTCAGCTTAAGACATGCCAAAGTTAAAGTTGCAGTTAATTTTTTTGCCTACTTCTGTTTACCAATCCATATCAGTACTGACCAATAGGAGTCACCCTAACTGAAAACCAGCCAAAAGAAATGGGGGTAAAAGACTCATGAACATGAGTTAAGCATCTGGGAGTTGGAGTTCCGTTTCCTATGAGGTAGGTAACTAGGTATATGATGTAAAGAACTTGGCCAGGAGCTCTATAAGAATACTGAGGAAGCAACTATTTTCATGTGCAAGCCTTGGATATTCTTCCCTTCAGATATTTGGTTAATTCTTGAATAGAATTAATAAATCTGTATCAGGAATGGGGTCATCAGCAGTATGTTTCAAAGCACCAGCAGTGGGCATCCCAACAGTGGGGTAACTTTTACTACTACAGAATGCACACAATAAGGTAGTTCCTGAATTTGCATTAATGAAAACTGTTTTCTCAACTTTTCGTATGTGTTCTTTGAGATTTCATGGGCATTGGTGTTTCTATGTAAGATGCATTTTCTTCTTGCTTGTCTGGTTGTGATAAAAGCAATTATTCTCTAAAACAAAGTACACAAGATTTGCAGCTAATTAGTTTACTGTTTGAGTTCACTTACAAGGCGAAGCAGCTATACTTGGCCAGTTTGCATGATCAATATGTAGTTATGTTTTACCTCATTGGATTTAGTAAATGAAAAAAAACTAATCAAGAGTATTCCTGCAACAATCAAAGGAAGTAGTCCTTTTAATACTATACAATTCGTGGTTCAGTTGTACGAGTTCTCTTTTCATTCAGATCTATTTCTCTAGCCCTTTACCTGCTAATGTGGAGTTGCAATGAAATTTAAGATTGTACAAGTTTAACTTATTTAGTTTGTTATGATTACATAGATTTTGCAGTATCAGTAGTACACCCTCACATAATTAATTGTCTCTGTGTTGCCCTTATTTTTTAGATTCATTGATAGATCTGATAATTACATGCGAACTTTGTTCCAGTGACATATATTTCATTGGAGGTTTTGGTACTGTTGCTTGGATAGATGTGAACGAATATGAGGCTCTGCAACCTGACAAAATTGCAATGGATGGAGGGGAACACAATCTGAAGGTAAGCTAATGAGTATTTGCTCGGAGAACAGCCTGACGAGCAATGTGTTCCATAAATATGTCTAGTTCATTTTATCTTAGGCACTATAGTTGGAAGTGATTCCTCTACTCCATCTATTGCTCTTTGAATAGGAACTCAACTCAATGTTCTCAAAGCCTCTGAAAGAACTTTTATCAACTGATGAAGGAGAGGTAGACGATGTAGCTGTTATTTCAATGGATAGCAAAGGTATCGATATCCGTGTTCGACATGGTGCACAGGTACAACCTACTGAAGATCTTTACATGATTCAACACCTCAAGTCTCTGTTTCCAGTCCTGAGATCATGAGCTTATGCGTTGTGCTGCCATGGTACTGGTTATTTCTTAACGGCAGAACAACATAAAGTTTTCTTGGGCGGGTTTTGCAGTTCAACATCCAGAGGATAGCTTTTGAGGTGGATCACAGTGTCGAAACACTGGATGAAGCCACGGAAGCGCTTAGGAGGATCATCAGCAAGTCTAGGTGGCACACAAGAGCTCAATTATGAGACGCCACCCTTGAAGCTGAAGCTGGAGGTTCTGTAAAACAGTTTGTGCAGTGCGGCAGTCGTTATGGTACGCCACTAAAGGAACTGCATTTCAGAGTTTTGTCTACTGTGAAGGGCCTCGTGTGGGTTGAATAAACACACAATTTGAGATGTGTTCTTTGACCATGAATTTAGATTGAAAGCACGACGGCAAGAGTTTATGTAAAGTTGTCGATGGAGTGAAAAAATATGGCCATCTCTGACCTGCTACGCACTGGTAGCTCTTCATTCATGTGGATAAGCGTTCTAGGAGTACATTTCAACATGGCCACGCCATTTCCCTTTTACCAAACGGAGAAAGTGAGCATACCTAAATTGATTGGGTGAGATTGGTTGGGTGGGAGGCGTTGTCATATACCCAACCACCTAGTTATGAGTCCCTTCAACTCAAATTTGAGTGCCAAGACAATAACTACAGATGAACTAAGGCCTTGTTCGGTGCCGCTCTGGCTCCGACTTTGGCACTAGTGAGAAGCTGGAGCGAACGGAAGGAGTGTTTCTAGGGATGGTGGAAGATGAGTCGGAGCTCGTTTTGACGATACGCATGCCTACGGAGGCGAACCCAGGGTTTGAGTGCTTTTACTCTGGCTCTAGCAGGTGCTTCTACTCTGCCTCCGACTTATGTGGCGACAGAGTTGAAGCGGCGCCAAACACAGCCTAAATCTTCGAAGGGAGGCCCTAGCAGCGCGTCCAAATGCAACTCCCACCAGCCAACCGATAATCGCTACGTGGGCTTGGGCTAGCGACGAAAGTGGTATCCCTGCCCACCAACTGGAGTCTAACGGAAGCCTATTCCTACCCGCGTAATAAAAGGGGAGAGCGTGTGCTCTCGTCGCGCCACCATCCCCCGGCGCTCCCCTCCCACCGGCCCCGGGCGCCCCCCTTCGTAGTTTGAGAAGAGGATGCAAGGCAGCAGAAAAAGGAGGAGACATCGAGGTGAGGTAGCAGAATGCGAGGAGGGAGATGCAACATCCGATCTACTTTTGAAACATTCAGATGCAACACTTGCAACATACATCCGAAGGCAGATGAAACACTTGAAATATGTATTTGAAACACTAGCAAAAACACCTGGAAAACACTTGAAACTATTGCAAAACATATGCAATAGTCAGATAAAGCACTTGCAACATATGTGTGAAACATATGCAATATCCAAATAAACACACTTGCAACATACGTCTAGAAAAACAGATGAAATATTGAGAACAGAAGCTTGTAACATACATGTACAACTATTGCAACATATATAACATCCCAATCTACTTTTGCAACATCCACATGAAACACTTGCAACATGCCTATGAAACATCTAAAATGCTTGAAACATAGGCTTGCAACATTCATTTTCACCCTTCTTCCGTAAGACGCAGTGCAGAGCGGCGGAACGACAGGTGGAGTGGTGGCGGCCGAGGATGGTGGACGACGGCCTATGGGAGGTCACGTCAGCCAAACTGGCGACGGACCGGGCACCAGAGTTGTCGAGGATGGAGGACGATAGCCATGAAGCGCGAGCGGAGGTAAGGAAGACGAGTGTGCGGGCAGGATGACGACGATGGCTGCGTGGGAGATGCGAGGTCGCGTCGGCCGGGGCGGAGGAGGGCCACTAGTGGCGACGGACCTCCCAATCTGGTAGATGGGAGGTCGCGCCAGTCGGCCAGGCCGGCAGCGGACCGGGCATCGAAGCTGCCGAGGATGGAGGACGATGGCCACAAAGTGCGGGCGGAGGTGAGGAAGACGAGCTCGGTGGACGAGTGTGGTGGAGTCAGACGCGTTGGATAAGTCTGTGACGGACGAATGGGCGTCTAATTTTTTTAATAGAGAAATTGTCCGGAGGGACAGACGTCGGATTGAAGCATTGCCGATTTCGAATGGTGCATCGTTGACTTGTCATCATAATAAACATAAAAAAATTCCATCCTCATGATCATAGATTAGTTGGTTGAGTTCTTTGTGCCGAAACCTACCCATCCGGGTTCAAGTTCTCGACTTGGCACGGTGCTTGCATAGTCGCATTTTCCTAGATTTATTCAAGGATTTAACGGCGCTATACTTTTAGTGTAAGGTGACATCCTCGCCGATGATGAGGCGCCTATGGTGACTTTGTGTAACACCCTCGGTGTTATGCCCTAAACAAATTACTAAACCATATCATGAGCATCATGTTTACGTGATAATGCATGTGATGGAATCAATAGATGAAGTATTACAACCTAAAATGATCAATAAAAATGCTAAACGAGAAGCTATTCCATAACTCACCAGCATGATCAGAGTTTTTGTCCTTGCACCTCGAGCTTTAGCCTACAGAATCTACATCGAGGAGAGGCCAACAGGTCGCCTGGGTCGATTGAACAGCTCGGGCCATTGCCGAGAGACGGGTAAGGAGCAGGGGATACCCTATGCAGGTTACGCCAACTCGTCACGAACGATGGACCCGGACCCCACACGGACATATCTGGTAAGGGCTCCCCGAACCCGTCACTCGAGCCATAGAGGTAACTTTACCAACTCCCACTTTACTTTTCCAATGCGTGAGCATTCATTCATCCATTCTAATGCACGCATTCATACATTCATTCATTCATACATTCATCCATACATTCATCCTATACATCCAAGCATCGCATATGCAATTATTGCATCACAACGCTTCGCGTCGCGTCACGAAGTGGTAGTCATCTCATTCGACATGAGCGGCGACCGACCGAGGTTCGAAGGCTAGACTGCGGAGGGCTCGAGGCCGCCTCACATCAAACAGAGCCAGGGGAGAAAATCATAGACGAGCCCTAGCGGCCCTTGCCCGACCCCGCTCAGAAGCGGACAGGGACATCTCGACCTTCTTGTTCGATCCTAACCTCGAGCCGAGCCCACAAAATCTCCATCGAGGAGAGGCCAGCGGGCCAATTGAGTCGGTCTCTAGAATAACTCGGGCATCTACTGGGAGGTGGGTTAAGGAGCAGTGGAATGGCACATGAGGGCTATGTCGACCTCGTCAGCGAACGACGGACCCGGATTCCACTCGGACATGCCCGTTAGCGAGCTCGCCGAGCGCGACACTCGAGCCATAGAGGCAAGTGTCGTTAGCTCAACCCCTCCGGTTGTGGAAACCACGGATGGGGTGACGCATGAAACATGGTCGACCCCTACTAAGCCTAATAGGGCTCGGGGGATCGAGTTGCCCGACCCTAACCCGGGAATCCAACTGACCGGGGTTCGAAGGCCGGCCCGCGAAGGGCTCGAGGCTGCCTCGCGTCAAATAGAGCCAGGGGAGAAAATGTAGATAAGCATCAGCGGCCTTTGCCCGACACCGCTCAGAAGCGGACAGGGTCATCTTGACCTTCTCGTTCGATCCTAACCTCGAGCCAAGCCCACAGAATCCCATCGAGGGGAGGCCAGCGGGATACCTGAGTCAATCTCTGGAACGACTCGGGCATCTACCGGGAGGCGGGTTAAGGAGTAGTGGAATGCCACATGAGGGCTATGCCAACCCCATCACGAATGATGGACCCAGATTCCACTCGGACATGCCTGTTAGCGAGCTCACCAAGCTCGTCACTCGAGCCATCGAGGCAAGTGACGTTAGCTCAACCCCTCCGGTTGCGAAAACCACGGATGGGGCGACGATCACAAAGACGAGCCGACCCTTGACCGGACCCACACTATGCGCAGGGGATCGAGGAAAGTTGGACTCGCAAGGAGACCAAATGCGCGGTCGCAGAACGATAGCTCAGATCCTAAGGAGGGGGTTTGTACGAAAACAAGAGACGCTTCCTCCTACTAGTTTCGCTATCCTCTTCTCGATCTTTAGTGACACCCGACCCCATCAACGGCAAGGGGTCGAGTCTCACTCGGGGGCTGGTAAGGGTGTATATATACCCTTTCTGAAATGGTCACTGTGCTCGACCCATTCCTCATGTTAAAAGACCTAGTGGCAAGGTTTGTGGAAACAAATGATTGAGTAAGGCTGGTCGGACCGCAAGAAACCTACGCCCTAGCGGCTACGGCACTTTTGCTCACCAGCGTAATCAGAGTTTGGTCACCCACACCCCGAGCCCTATGGTCTTAACAAACGGAAGGGTCGGAACGCATTAACCCCATTTCACACATAAAAAGGGAGAAAAAACAATTTTGTTCACACCAAAATAAAAGAACATACTTGTTCGAACAAAACACAGGGGTCGGAACTTGTTTGATTATGACAAAAATGATCATCTAGCCTATCTAACTAACTAGCCCCTCTAGGGGAGAACTACGTCTTCTATCCTGTCCGCCAGGTCCTGCGAAAGGGAGCCACCGCCGCTTCCATCTCCTCTAGCTCGTGGACTTCATAGCCGGGCACGTAGCCATGGCTCATCGTCTCTAGATCAATGTTGTCCCCATAATGAGAACGAGCAATCGTGAAGGATTGATTGACCCCGGTGCGAAGGGCATTCCTCTCGAGCTAGCGCACCCGAGCCGTGATCTTGATGGCATGGGCTGCGAGTGAGCTAGTCCCCTCCGACCGCACCACCTCAAGGTCATCACAGACCACTCCGAGGGCAGTACTCATGATACCAAGCTCATCGCTCTCCGCCTGAAGATTCCTCCTCACCTTGGAAAGATCCACATCCAGCCCAGTAGAAACGCTCTCGGCCTCTAGCTTCCGGGTCGTCGCGCTTTCGAGCTTGGCCTGGAGGGAGCCAACCTTCTACTGTGTGTCATCGCGTTCTTGGCAGGCCTTGTCACGCTCTCGAAAAGCCTGGGCATGCTCCTCGTGAGCCGCGACACATTCTGAGCGGAGCCTCTCCGAGGTTTGGAGCAGCTCATCCCTCTCCTTGCGTAGCCGAGTGACTGCCACGACATCTAGGCTCGCCCTCTTCTCTAGGGCCATGAGCTTCTCCTCGGCCCCCAGCTTTAGACCCCTTTCCTTCTCAACCTCGGCCAGAAGGTCAAGGATCCGATGGCGGGTCTCGGCGTCC